CAATATCTAACTGACCGCGGTTTTTCAACGTCCGAACATTCCATGTACCGAGAGTTATTTTTTGTTTGATGCGATCAGTCGCAAGATAACGGTCCGGTGACAACTGTCGCTCATGTCGTTCCTTTCTGGGGTTGGGATTCCGAAGAATTTTATCCCCTTTACGCCGTTTACGCTAGCAGTCGCTGGATGACGGTCAGGTGACACTTGTTGCTCATATCTGTCCTTACCGAGCGAGGAGTTAATTCCTATAGACTTAACCCCCTTCACGACGTTAGGTTTCATATTGTGTGTGTCATTAGCCATGATATATCTTGGAATTAATAGTAAAGTGGTTTCCCGTTGCCTTCTCCATGGTGATTTATGGAGACACCACCTCTAGTTAGGTGGCCGTTGACTCAGAGAGTTCTTCCGCCCTTTGTTAGGTCATATTTTTCGTCCTACTGGCTCGCTAACAAGCCACTTCACTCGGAAGAACTTGGAGTGGGGTAGTCGGTTTAATCGCCAACATTCTGACTGTGGTGTCTACAGCTCTAAAACTATCCAAACATATTCAACGCTGAATATGACTCTTTATCGCCTAATTACAAGGTCACATTTTATACCGACTTTTACTACTGTACTGACAAAAAGGCACTCAAGTTCAGTGTCACATCAGATCATTGTTTAATCTGCAGAAGATTAAACCATCTAAACATTCGAATAAGAATTTTTCGAGTACAGTGTAACCCGGTTATAAGAGACCCGGATATAAGAGAAACCCGGATATAAGAGAGATTTTCTCCGGTCCCAAATTAGAGCCTGTGTTAATGTATATAAAATAGACCAAACCCGGATATAAGAGAAACCCGGATATAAGAGACTTCTTCTCCGGTCCCGACAACTCTCTTATATCCGGGTTACACTGTATCTTCTGGTCTGGTTCCATACCAATTCCAGATATATTTTAAGTAATATATGGCCAACGCGCTTCTCTTTGCATCAGCGGTTAATCTAATTTATAATAAAAAATCTGTAAGTATTTTATTTGCCCGCTCAAAATTTGTTTTTATTACAAAATTATATGACTATCTGTTCTAGATATTTCTCTACATCTTTGTCTTTATTTCACGCCAATAAAAAAAAATCTTGTTGCTTTACTTTTAACATAGTCTTCGGGTTGATTATTATCTTATTTCCCTTTTGATATTTAAAAGTTAAATTTTAAAAATTCATAGAAATTAGATCAATAAAATCATAATTGTAGTGGCCTAGCTTAAGTACACCAAAAGAGAGTTCCTCAAGCGAGAAATGTGAAAAAAGAAACTGTTAGCATAAAAACTTAAGGTTATCTAGCCATTTCAAATATAAAATGATGAAACCTTGTCACCAATCTAGTACTGCGCTTAAATTTATAAACTCTAAGTAGCAAAGAGGAAATTGCCATGAAAATATTTGTTTTAAAAAATGTACAGGGAAACTGCGTTACGGCATTGGGAAAGTGAATGAAGCCGGAATGCTAGGTCAGAATCAATAATATTGCAGATTATTTGGGTTTTATCAAGAATGCTTAAATACATAGCAGAAGTACCCGACCAAATGTAACAGCAATATTCAATGCATGGACGAATGGTAGACTTATAAATGTGTAAGACAACAATTGATCCAATATACCCTTTTCACTTCATGTGAGCGGAAAACGTGAGACCAAGAAGGTGTAAGGAGTTAAACTCCTGGGGGTTAGCATCAGCCATGCTGACGGAAGACAAAAAGGCTACTCTCAGACGATGAAAAGATATTTCAGTACAGTACGTTAGCCAGAGTAAGATATTTTTCGCTATCAACAACCTACCAAGGTCGACTATCAAATTTAGGAGGACTGGCAGTAGAGACGCAACTTATAGGCAGCTTAAATTTTGACGGCGTTATTGAACTATACTTCGTAGGTGTTAGCAGGATTTTACACGTATGTGGGCTGGAAGCATATCAATAGAGATAATTTATATGATTTTCCCATATTTTGATGATTATTATTTCCGTAAATACTATCTTGTTTCTTTCTTTAGCTGAATCTATATAATTATATGACTGAGACTGTTGCATATTGAAATGGACTCGACTATTGCCGGTGAATGATAAGCCGAGATGAAACTGGGGTTTAGTTATTGCTTTCTTGCTTCTTCAAATCTACATATGTGAATGAAGTTTTGTAACACAGATATCCAGCTACGTTTCCATCAACAAAAATAATTACGTTGAAAAAAATCTTGACAAAATAATACGAGCCACTTTTCGGGAAACGTTAAAGTTCAAAATTATTGGGCGCCCGTGACATTACTGTCCTCCGGACCGTGAATACTGTCAACAGTCTTATCCAAAAGTGCTTGTTACTTTTGATAACATCAAAATCTGTGACCACAATTATAAATGGCTTCGAGATCATATCTTCTTCGACAAAAAAAGATCCAAGCTCTTCGCGTCGATCTTTGTCTCAAATTCAACGTTAGATGACAAAGTTCATCACCTCCCCAACTTCCCAGGTCTTATTAAGTACAATCTCAGTAATATTTTCATTACAATACTAGAAGTCTCAAGATTTGTCAAAAGCCTTGACCTAAGAAAGTCCCTGGCTCAGACAAAATTCCAGTGGTTGTTCCTAAGAATATCAACCCGGGATTATCCCCGATCCTAACGAAGTTATTCAACCGCAGCTTGACGAAGAAATCCTTCCCAATCCTGTGGGAGGTATCAAGCGTAAGCCCAGTTTCCAAGAACGCGGGCGAGCGACCTTTCTCCTTCCAGTATAAACCCATCAGTCTCTTCAGTTCCATCAGTAAGTTTTTGAGGCTATAATCAACAAGGTCGTGGAGCACCTAGACTAGATCAGAACATCTTGAGTGACGAGCAGTACAGGTTTCGATCGGCCCGATCCACTGCTGATGTCTTAACTACAATTACTCACAGAATTATTGAGGCTCTTGTCGACGAACACACCACGAGAACCATATCATGAGATATTTCGAAGACTTTTGACAAGGTGTGGTAGAAGGTAGGGAATCACTTGAAGGGTCTTCTCAATTATAAAATCCTTCCTAACTAAAGGTAGCTATTAACGGACGAGGCCCTAGCGGTCAACAATGGTGTCCACCAGCGGTCACTTCTTGAACCAAACCTCTTTTTGATTTACAAAAATGATCTGCCTAATAATATACTCAGATCATTTGTAAGCATCTATGCCTATATACGACGATATAGTGCACATCTAAAGTTCTTGATGATCAGAGATCGACAGATGATCTCTCATCCGATCTAGCATTAACTTCCTAGTGGAGAAAAAAACTGACTTGTTACATTCATTGCCGATCGGACCCAGAACGACCGCCAGTCCCGATGAACGGATGTCCACTAGGGGTTTGGTGGTTCAGTGCCTTGAGAGACTATCGGGCCTTAAAATGACATCTGACCTCAAATGGAACTTGTACCTACGATTCATCGCTAAAGATGCATGAAAAATGGTAGGCTCCCTGTACCGATCCAGTAAGTACCTGACTCATCGTGATACCCTCTACCTTTACAAAAGCGTCTCCGAGTCCTTGTTGGAGAATAATTATTTTAACCCTCCAAGCTCTCTCTCTCTCTCTCTCTCTCTCTCACACACTCACACACACACACACACACACACACACACACACAGAGAGAGAGAGAGAGAGCCTCTCACTGCTCTATCGCTACTTCCAAGGAACGTGCTCCGGTGAATTACATTCCTTGGTTCCGCCAGGCCTAAGCTTCACGGCTATGAACCGCCATACCATTTATATTTTTTCAAACCATCCACATTCCCTACATATTCCATCGGTGAGAATTAAGTTCCACTCGAACAGCTTCTTCTCGCGAACCACTGCTCTGTGGAACCGGCTCCCAAGTGGATGTTTCCCCGATCACTACAATCTTTGCCTGTTCAATCTAGGATTACTGTTATCTTCCCCTCCTATCCGTATAAACTGCTTCTTACTTTAACCCTCTACCTCGAGTGCTTCCAGCTCACTGCAAAAAATATCTTGTGCAGATATCTCCCTATCTAGATAGTTCAGTAGCAGTCGGTAGAAAGTGTAACATAGATATCCAAAGGCGCATAAGAATAATGAAAGATGCTTTTCAGGAACTAAGCAATGGCATCGGAAAATATCCTTAAAAATAAAGTGCTGAACTGCCATGTAATATCTAATCTCCTATTTGACAATGAATGTTTTACAATTTCATCAGAAATAAAGAAAATACCTGAATCGGCAGAAATGTTGCCATTCTAATCAATGTCGACATTACTATGAACAGATAAAGTGAGAAGCGAAGAAGCTTCAAGGAGTAGGAACAAAGAAATTGATGCTAAAATAAAAATTTAAGGGGTATATAAGAAAAGAATGCTTAGAGAATTTAACACTCACAGTGCATATCAAAAGTAAGATAGGCGGGTGAAAGCAGTGAGTAAACTACTTGACAAATATATAAATGAATATTCAAGTCCCAAAAAGACAAATAGGGGTCATAAAAGTGCAAGTATTGGTGAAAACAACGAAAGATAGGAAGCTGTGGAAAATCATAACCGCTCCTGCCCTGGACACATAGAGTGAAAGATATTTTTTCAAGATTACGAAACTGAATTTATATGCAAACACGCTCATGCATGTGGGGTGTATATGTGTGAGTGTGTGTGCGTTCGATCTGAAAATGCATCGTGAGAGATTTTTTTTAAAGTTGAAGGCCAGAGTAATGGAAGGAAAGCTTACATAATTCTTTTTTATTCGTTTTACGGCTTATCAACCCTTTACAGTTTTTAAAGCCAGAAAATGTTTTTAAATTATAAGAAAGTTTTTTTACTAATTAACCCATAGCTGGGGGAGAAGAGATGGATTCATAGCTTTCCCAAATGTATTTGCGCGTAACTGAATATAACAAACCCAACTGAATTTGTAACTCGGCTCTCCGATTAACAATTCCGAGCCATTATCCATTACACCACCCGCACATCCAGCGCCTGGTATTCTCAAAGCAGTCACCCATCTAGGTACTGACCAGTCTCGACGTTGCTTAACTTCGGTGATCGTACGGGAACCGGTGTTTCAACATGATGTGGCCTTACACAATTTTACAATTATATGAATGCTAATGGGCCTTTTTAAGTAGCAGTCACAGATATATATGTCTCTCTATCTCTATCTGTGTATTTATCCATCACTCCCCCTTCTTTCTCGCCTCTCTCTCTCTCTCTTTCTCTCTCTCTCCAGTTAAATCGCAAGTAGAAAGTTTCGCAACAGAGAGAGTGATTTGTAAAACAGTAAAACTGAAGTCCTATTCATGCTCCTCCTCCTTTCTTCCTTCCTTCCTTCTTTCTCAAAACATCTTGTCTTTTTTTCTCTTCATCGCTAGTGCCGACATTAAGTGTTTATTATGATTATTGACCAGGACTAGTAGTAGTAGTAGTTATAGAGAGAATATCAATACTTACGAGAGAGTTAAAGAGAGGGAGAATACAGTTTTGTCACGTATGCGAAACTGACCCACGTGGCGATGGGTTTAACAACCGGGATGGGGGTTAGGTGCCATTGAGTAGATGAATATATAAGGAGGTTAATTTGAAATTCAAAGCAATTGTAAACACGTCAGGTGACTATTCGTTTCGATAATTTTAAAAAAAAAGTATATAAATTAAAAATGTTTTAAAAAAAAAAAAAAACAAGAAAGAAAACTAAGAATTTTAGTGTTAACAACAACAAATATTACAAAACTGGGTCACGGAAAATTTGGGTTACTGTTGAGTGTGTAATTTAAACAACAGACACACGCGCACAAGCCCAGGGTTTGCTTATTATTCTTCTTTGGTGTCGTCCTGTCAAGAAAGGAATTTTATTATTGCGTTCTTGTTTAGCTTAAATTTTATTTTAGCGTTGTGTTGTCTGTTGTTTTAGATATTTTCTCCCCTTTTTTTCTATTTGCAAAATCTTTACTTATTTTCAATTTTGTTTTTATCCACGCAAAAAGCCTATTGCCAAAATTGTTTTCGTTTTTTAACTTTTATTGCTCAAATAATACTAGAATTAATTCTAGAGAATACGTTTGAAGTTAAGAAACGACTCCAGCAAAATCCTGACACCAATTCTAAAAGTAAAAAAGAGACTAAAAAACAAGAAATAACAGCAAAGAACAAAAAATGGCATCAGATAGAAGAGTAATTGTTATTGGTATGGACGGCAGTGAATATTCCGAATATGCATTCAAGTGTAAGTATTTAAATATTTTCTTTACTTTCAATTTCTGCTGTTTTGTATTTAGTATTTGTCATACCTTCTACTAGCGGGCTGTCGAAAATGCATCTCTTTAAGTGAAGTGGGTTGCCCAGCTGGTGGTCGTTTGATTTCTTCATTCATTTTGTTTGTTTTTTGGCTTTTTTTTTGTTGTTGTTCTGCTTTTTTTATTCACATTTAATAATTTGCAATATTGGACAATTCCCAAATCTCTGTCAATCATATGCTTGTAAAATTGAAGCCCTCCCCAATTTCTTAACGAGAATTTAATAATCAATTTTTGTTTTTGAAAAGAAATGTGTTCAAGAAAGTCTTTTCCAGAATCGTTTTCTCTAAATAAAATTATTAGTACTGTTTCATTCATCAAATGTTTCTTGTTTCAAAAGAACACGAATCAATAAAATTAGGAAGAACATTTGCTACAACACAACCACAACGTGTCTACGCTTTGTATGTATGTCAGTCAAATGCAAATCAATTGATAGCAATTGGTTTCATTTTATATTCGAAATAAATTTCTTTGACTTTTCTCTCAAACCTTTCCTTGGGGTTCATTTTAAATTTAAAAAAAAAAAGCTGAAGCAGTTTTTGTTTACCCTCAAGTTCGACTTATTCTTCTTGTGTGCTGCTGTACCATATTTAAATTTTTATGCTTCTCTTCTGTGAGTTCATTTTTATCCGCTTTTTAAATTTTCTCCAGTATTCTCATGGAACCGCATAACCCACGAAAAACTAGCCCGAATTTAAATTTAATTCACTTTTATTTCACCTGAAACATCGACCTACCTAACGTTTATACACGAAAGTTAACATCGTTACTACCTGAGTCGCATCACGCAATCGGCTCGCGTTATTGCATCTTTAGGCGGGGGTAGTGGGGGAATAAGCGATTTTCTATAATCCCTTCAACTGCATATTTTTTTTTTTTTTTAATAATTGCAGAAATGCAATTCAGTTTATTCACTAGTAAAGCTCACCATAAAAATGCTCGGGAAGAAATCTTATTTTAATTTGCTTTGTAAAGTGTCCGCAGAGGATTTTTTTTATTTTATTTTATTTTAGCCAACTGGTTAGTCGCATCTTACGAGCAGATAGCAATAGCCTATTATAGAAAAAAAAATCTGTAAAATCCATTCAGTCAGGGAGAGACGGGCTTTCGTGTTACAATGTGCAGGGTCAAATCATCTAGTCAAACGTTTGTGATTATAAAAAAAAAAAATGTAGATTGTAGAAGCATCATCGGCGAGAGCCTGGGGTGGTGCTTCATTTCCACCCCTTTTGACTGGAGATGAGAAACAGAAGACTAAAAAAAACGTATCCTCTTGGTTTCAATTTATGATTATGCTATTGATATAATTTCTCTTAAGATTTAAAATCATTAGTCACTTTTTTATATAACATTCATCACTCGTTTTTTTTTGTTTTTTTTTTTGGGGGGGGGGGGTTCCGAAGCATTAGGTTCTAAAACTTGTCTAGGTCTCTTATCAGAAAATAAGCACATGCGAAAAGAAAAATGTTTACAGTCGGTAGAGTAGAGATAATGGCTTGAAAATAAATTTTATTTTTATCAGATAAAAAAAAAATACAGAATTAAGAATCTTTTTAGAAGTTAAAATTTAGCGCACCACATTTTTATTTTGTGGGGAGGGCTGCTTGAGAATCTGTTCGTTGTTAGCTTATGAACAACGAAAAGCGACTTTGAAACTATGGAGACGGGGTTTAGCAAGCGTTGAAGTTTTTCATTTGAACATTTTAAGTTTTACTTGAGTTTTGTTTTATTTAGAGTAAAGAAGTTAGCAGATCTAGTGTTGGCTCCCAATGCATGACAATGTGAATTTAAATGTATTGTTATTGACTTAAAAGTTAAAATGGAATCTTAATATTTAACATGGTTAAATTTCCATGAACTTTTTTTAAAATTTCGAATAAAATTTCTTCAGTTCACGAAAAAAGCGTAATCAATAGTTTGTAACTTTTTGTTGTACTAGACTTATCTCCCTTGCCCTGGCACCACAGTTTTCTTGTTTTGTTCTTGTTCCAACCTGTTCACGAAGCCGAGAGGTGAAAGACCGACTCCGTGAAAGAGAGTATAATAAGAATTGGGGGAGGAATTAAAGAATCCTATGTTTAAAATTTAATAATAGTCTTAACGAAATATGTCGTCTCTTTTTATGGCATAAGTAAATTCGTCAAATGATCTCTCTCTTTAAAATCTACTGAAGATGTGACCTCAACCTAGGTAAATCTTTCCCACTTACTACCCTTTCTAAACGTAGTCTCTTGTCAATTTGTATTAAAATACCTTAATGGCCGAAATCGTTTAAATTACTAATTTTCTTCACGTAATCAACATTTTATTTTATTAAATACGTTTAGTGCTGTGCCTTGATTTTATTTTGTCAGATTCAAGATCAAAAAATTTGGAAAAGCAGAAAGATAGTGAGTCCTATATCTCCTCACTAAATACGCTGGTACAACCAACCCCTTGTAGTGTGAACTGTCTGCTATTTATTGATTTTAGTCTGACAACCAAACGACATCAGGAATATTCCTAGCGAGTTCTATAAATAAAATAATCTGGGGGCTGCGTTTATTTTTAGTTAAAACAAGAAAAAATAAATTTTTTTACGTTATTGTATCTGTTGCAGCTTAAGATTAAAAAAAAAAAAGCTATTTAACATGTAGCAACTGATCTTAAAACATTTTTAAAATTATACTTCAAAAAATCAATTAGTATTCCCAAATTTGTTACAATTTGTTTAAATCGTTTATTAAAAAAAGACCTTTGCTAAGTGAAAACATTAACTGCTACAAAACATGTCTTTCTTTTCTTTTTCTTTTTTCCGACTCCTCAATTCAAATTCAACACCCCTCATCGTTGTAGAACTGACATATGTTACGCAGGTAACAGATAATGCCGGTTCTCGTTTGATTGTTGATTAATCTCTGGATGACTCGGCATTCTTTTTTCTGGTTAACAGCATTTTGCACATTTTAGGACATTTGGCTATTTTATTTTTTAACTTATTTGAGGATTTTTTTTTCACTTACCTTACAGTTTAAAACGCTGGTACAAAAACCCAAATTATTGTCAACTGTAGAACTAAGAGCTAGGGATGGGGGAATGAAAAACGGTTCTCTTTAAAAATATTTTTTCCAAATTAAAGGAAAGTGTTTGTGCTGAAAATGATGTAAACGTTTCAGCAACTCTTTCAATATTTCACCAGAATGCTAGAGAATTTGCATTATTTTCAATTCTCTCGTATTCTCAATCATTTTGAGAATTTAATCTTGATAAAAAATCCAATCAGCAAGTGCAAGGAATGTCACTTAAAACTTATATATATATATATATATATATATATATATAACAAACCCCACCAACCTTATAGTTCTAATTGATGGCTTTTCTGTTTTTAACTTACAGGTCAATATCTATCATAAATGGAACAAGAAGTATTTATTTTTGGTTTCTTGAACTGTACAGGGAGTAAGAAACGTCTGTTTTTAACTTTGCTTTTAGGATGAAAGGAAACGTTATTTGCATACTACTGTCTTTGTACAAATATTTTAACTATGTGATTGTTTGTTATAAATCTGACATACATTTGGTAGCGGCAAAGTTTAATAAGTCCGTTTATTTGTTTTTTTTTAGCATCTGTCATTCTAATTGTCTTTGACATTTTCCTTTCAACTGTAGTCTGATATACACCAGGTCAGACCAACCATGCCGCGAGGAAGATTATATATAATTTAGGTCAAAGGTTATCCACTTTTAAATTTACTGAAGTTCGTATAAGATATTCACAAGCACATACTCCATGACATACGCATGCTTAAAAATATATATATATATATATATATATATATATATATATATAATGGGTGGGAGAATGTATGACAAAATGGAAAATGTTTTCGGGTAACGTGTTTCATACTTTACGACTTCATCGGACTAAATTCGTTATTTTGGTGCGACTACACATGCGCACGAACGAGAGATGTTGGGAATTTTAATTCTGTATTTGAGTCAGAAGAACCGCACCAATGCAGTTTTAAATTTATGAAGTTGGTTATAAGTCTTATGGCCAGACTGCCCTGACGTGGGGAAATGGCCAGACTGCCCCTGATGGGGGAAAGTCTAACAGGCCAGACTGCCCCTGACGTGGGGAAAGTCTTCTGGCCAGACTGCCCCTGACGTGGGGGAAAGTCTTCTTGGCCAGACTGCCCCGACGTGGGGAAAGTCTTATGGCCAGACTATGACGGGGAAATATATGGCCAGACTGCCCCCGATGGGGAAAGTCTTCTTGGCCAGACTGCCCCCGACGTGGGGAAAGTCTTCTTGGCCAGATGACAAAATGGGGAAAAAATTTTGGCCAGACTGCCCCGACGTGGTGTTTGGCCAGACTTTGGGGAAACTTCTTCAGACTGCGGACGTGGGGAAAGTCTTTGGTTATTTTGGGGAAAGTCTTCTTGGCCAGACTGCCCCGACGTGGGGGAAAGTCTTCTTGGCCAGACTGCCCCCGAGATGGGGAAAGGAATTTTAATGACGTGGGGAAAAAAATTGCCAGACTGCCCCCGACATTGGGGAAGAACAGACTGCCCCGACGTGGGGAAAGTCTTTCAGTCATTGGGGGGAAAGTCTTTGGCCAGACTGCCCCCGACGTGGGGAAAGTCTTCTTGGCCAGACTGCCCCCGACGTGGGGAAAGTCTTCTTGGCCAGACTGCCCCCGACGTGGGGAAAGTCTTCTTGGCCAGACTGCCCCCGACGTGGGAAAGTCTTCTTGGCAGTGGATTCGTCATCAAATGTTTCTATCTATAGTTATCTTGGAACCTATCTGCCATAGCTAATACATTCTGATTGTATAAAGTTTATCTAAAATGTTGATACGTTACTAATGTATTTATCAAGTCTATGAAAGTTTGATTTGTTTTCGAATGTTAACATCATTAACAATCTATTTATAAACTCCTATTGTAGGCTAAGAAAATGCCCTAACTGAATACACGTTATAAACATATTTATAGACACAAATATAATAATTTCCAGTCATTGTCAAACCACTTTCAGATCGGCTTATCTGCATAGACCAGTGTTTCTCAACCATTTTTAATTCCAAGACTAACTAAAACTCTGAGGACACACTTCAAATTTTAATAAGGAAAAATAAGTTATGAAATTTGAAAATTAATAAAGAACTCTCTTGAAATAAGAATTTATTTTTTAAGACATTACATCATGCATTTAAGCGGTAGAGTTTTTATTGTAATGGATTGATGAAGAATCTATTTTTTTTTCTTTTTAGAGAGACCGATAATGACTGACTTAAATCCGTCAAGAGAAAGGATTATCCATTCCTTCTTAAAGATTAAGGAATTTAGCATCCAGTTTAATATGACAAATACTTAGACATGAAAGCCATGTGCTTGGTGTCTCAAGCTTTTTAAAAATAAAGATTTTTTTTTTTTTTTTTTTTTTTTTTTTAAATAAAAATAATTGATAATTTACTCTTCTGTCAACTTGGGGCGCACCTGGCTACCTCTCAGGTCTCATTAGTATGCCTGGTTGAGAAACACTGATATAGACCTATAGTCTATAAACTAATTTCAGTTGAAAATATCACGTCAGTATATTTTTTTCTCAAGGAAACCATCTAAATATATCAAAATATTTTTTTCATCTTTCATATTGTCTGAATAATACATTCAAGATTTTTTCCATTTAACTAAAAAAAAATTAATATTTAAAAAGGAAACCAACACTCAAATCTTTTGGCAAATATTCTCTTGAATGCAAATCAAATTCAACTTGATCAACATCTTTTCTCTTTTTTAATTGTACAAAAAAAAATCAATATAGCTTTCTTATCGAAGCCACAGGTGTTTCTTTGTTTCCTTTTTGGTACAGTATCTGATAATTATCCCCACCCACGTTTTTCCTTTCAACCTAAAATAAACCAATGTTATCTCAACTGACCAAGCAATAAAGGTGGCGTTTTGCAGTAGATTTTATAGATTAAAAATTGTTTTATCTGTGAATCTTAGATTCTTGACTATTTGATATTTTCTGTTCTTGGAAATCTTGTGCCTAACAGATTTGGCGTTGTCATTCTGTCCTCTTCAGATTAGTTGAATAATCTTTTAAATTTAGGATTACGTTTAAGAATGATTATTATTCCTAATATGAAATTATGAACAATGTATATCTTTTGACAAGAGAGAGAGATCTGTTAGTAGCAGTGTATGGATATGAGATACATAACCCAGAACTTCAAAGATATTTTAATATTTGAATTTAGCATAAGAAATAATGTTGGGTTAAAAATACATCTCTCTCTATATTTCTGAGATGAGTTATTGTAACTATTTACATCATTCAGACTGATGTCCTCATCTTTATTGCCATATTCACATTTCGGCCGTTGTATGCTCCGGTCTTCTTCCCGTGATATACGTTCTAATTTCGAACCAAACCTTTTATTTAGTCTACGAGGGCAGATTGTTCTAATTCCACGTGCCATGCCTTTTTTTTTGGGGGGGGTATCTGTTTCAGTTAATTCCCTGTAGTAACTCAACTCTCCAAGTTTTTGTTCACCTCTGCTGTGGTCAGGTATTGAACTCAAAGCTCTTTGAGTCAAATCAGTTTTTGGATTACTTCAACCACTGGGCCACTCAAAATAGTGTTACTGGAGGCAGTTATGGTAAGGGGTGCAGTTTATGCAGATATGTGAGAAAGATATTGGTTAATCCTGGACTTGAAGATTGTACACAAGTACAATCTTAGCATCTTCCTGGGATTCTGTTCCTCAAAGCAACAGTAATTGGGAAGAAGCTACCCAAATCAATCTCCCTCTATATCAAGGGAATGAGGGTGATTCAACTCTTGATGTATGCAGCAAGGTGGGTCTTAGCAAGGAGGATTATAGTTGGGGAGGGACTAAGGAATGTAGCTCATCTGAACATTTTCCATGGAAATAGCAATAAAGTAACCAGAGGCTTACAATTTTTCATATGTGGGGAAAGGGGCTGCAAGGTGGAAAACAATTCATCACCCACAATTCCCTTTTTTTTTTTTTTTTTTTTTTTTAAAGAAAATAAAGTTAGCAGATCTAGGCTTCAAAAGAGATGCTCATTCCTTAATTCAGGTAAATGAACCTTACTTCCTGTGACCTAATGGTGAAACACACCTAGCTGAAAAGAGGTTTCCATGATTGATAAAGAAAATGCAAGTTTGATTCCTGTTGGGAGAATTATTTTCTTAAGGACTCTTGATCGCTATGCCGGTAGACAATAATTTGACTTTTTATCTCTATTTCCCTAAACAGGAATGTCTACCGAAAAAGGTGTACCAACCAAATATAACATTTATGGAAATTAGTTTATTAGAATTTCATTGAAACTATTTGATTTTCCAAATACTAATATAACCAGCATAGTACCGTTAAAAATTGCTAACATTGTTTACACTTTGATCAGTACTTGCTGTCTAGGATTAATCTAACCATGTATTTTACCGAGCATCAAATATTGTTCCTCATCACTTTTGTCTATAATCAGGATGAAAGTGTGTTCTGAGAAATGTTACATGTAAATATATATATATATATATATATATATATATATATATATATATTCCTAAGGGTATCAATACCCTTGAGAAAAGATATGAATCCTCTTCTCCTCCTCCCTCCAGCTATGGGTAAATAACAGGATAGACTGGGTTCTATAGCCTTGGATGGCAACTGGTCTAGGAGAAGGACGACTTTGAACTCAAAACCTGTGGAAGGTTGTTTGGGAACCTTGTGGCATGTAGTACACCAGGTCTCTGTATTCAGCCCTTCAAAAAGTGTGGATGGTTCTGCACAAAACCTTCAACACTATAATCAAGTCACATATGCTGGTGTCTGGGCTGTCAGTTCCTAGGAACTGAACTGCTTGACCCTCATACGTCAAACACAATGGGAGAGTTGAATAATATATAATGAAATAATGAGATCATATATTTTTCTGAAGCTGGCGTTGCTCATGACTAAAAAAGAAATATTTTTTTTTATTTTTTAAATTGTCATTATGTGTGTTAATGGATAATAATGTTTATTGGCAATATACTCTATGTATTACTGTTGGAACTGAGTTATCAAAAACAGGACACTGGAATTGGTTTAACAAGTTTATTCCCTTTTTTTTTACAGGGAAACAATGTAGAATAGAAACTAGGGAAGAGAATGTTCAGCCATGAACGACTGTTTTCAGCAAAAGCTACTGCTCTTCCTGCTACTCCTCTTGATGTAGGATGATTTTTGTACCTTTCATCCGATGGCTGAGTCAAAAGTTGTAGAAAAATAATCTTTCTCACAACAATTAGCTATAACATCTAACACCAATCATAAAAATTGATGCTAGATGTTATAGTTAATACTAATGATTCTGCTTCTATTTATTTCAATATCTGAAGGAAATTTTGTATGTTTTATTTAGAAGTAAGAAAAAAAATTGATCATTTATTTGGCTATTAGAAAAATACAAACCACTTTTTAATAGATTTTTCATCATTATTTGTTTGACATACACAAGTTTAAAATGTTGGCCTTTGTTTATATAACATAAAATGTAGACTGAAGAAAAGAGGAAATGGTTTCAAATAAATGCTACTTTCTTCAAGTAGCAAACCAACACCAAAAATAGAACATTTTAGATCTCTTAACCTAAATATAAAAAATCTCAAGTACAATCCAACCTGAGAGAATTGTAACATTAACTGAATTTCCACTGGTTTAATTTCATTGGCTGAATTTTTATTGTTTTTGTTTTTTGGGTTTTTTTATACTTCAATAAAACGTTTGGTTACTTCACCTAGTATTGGTTAGTAGATTTTCAAATCTTTTACTGCTATGGTACAAGCTTTTTAGGATATAAAAATGTTCATATAATCAGTACTTTAATTTTTGTTCTAATGGCAATAATGACTTTCATTTTTTCTGACTGGGTTAATTAAAACCTTGTTAAAGTGTATTTAGAGATCTATAAGGCTTTTATATAACCTCCTAAGACTCTGATTTGCTCTCTTTAACACACAGGGTTTATTGTAATCTAAAAATTTAGTCCAACACTAATATTCTTACCACTAGACAATCCATACATGGAATGAAGGAGATTTTTTAACATGTTTTATTAATGAGTGAATTCTGTATCTGTGTAGATAGGAAATAACAACAAGGACACTATACTAAGGTTTTGCGTTCATGAAAGTAAAAACATAGAAGCAAGTGTTTCTTGAGAAGGAACTAGAAAAATGCTTAATAGTGATAAGATACACTTAATTTAAACACAGGAAACAAAACCCCACAACTTCTGTATCCACTGGAATTTGAATAAATAATTTTTTCCCATATTACTCTAACAGAACAGATGCAGAGTAATTTTGTTTTAGACTTTAATTCTTTACTTTTTTTTCTGATATCCTGCTCTCACAGAGAAAGATGGTGAATAATCTAATGGGGATAGGAAGTTGTGAAGAGCCATGGTAAATTACCTAATGAACTTGTGTAAATGAATGGGACTGGGAGGTATAGTAAGAAGACAAACATTGCTTAGATTTACAAATGATAGGACAGGAAGTTGTGAATAGCCA